TCCCTTGTGTGAGTGCACATAGCGATGTTTTGTAAGGCAGGGTATCATTACAATCATAGTCTCATCAGACTGGTACTGCAAAGTAAAATGGTTTTTAGTCCAGTATCGGTTAATTTTTCCTTCCTTTCTTACCCATCCACGAGGATTTCGCGAGTGGGCCTACAGTCATGCCTGTCCAAATACCGACCGAAATGCATACAGGGAGCCGGCAAACTAGAGCGAAGGTTCATAAAGGAGCGATTGAGATTGATAAGAACAAGAGCAGAAAATGTTTTTTTAAAAATTGCGTTCCATGGATTTGAATGTGGTTTTTTATGGGTTTTTAGAAAGCCATTTTATTAGATCCGTATTGTGCTGCGAACTGTGAACTAAATGAAAATACCTGGTTCGAATTGGTTCACCCTTTCTGTTCACTTAGCATTTCTTTGAATCTTAGACGCTGTTCCTAGCTTAAATTCTGCCTTCAGAAACACCGGAACACAACTTTTGGCACGTGGAACTTCTCATGCGTAAAAGTACTCATTGAAGGAGGATTCCACGATAAGGACGAAGGTCGAAAAAGGGGAAACTTTCCTAGTGCAGAGATAGGCAGACCGACATGCAATTTCCATCGAAAGACACTCCCGGCGATCTATCATGCTTGCCCCGCGGCGCAACTGGTGTGGTACGGCCCCTTCAACGTCGTCTCGTGTCTGAGTCTCTAGCCGTTTAGCAGAGAGAGAGAGAGAGCGTTAGCGTTGAAGAGGGCAGCACCGATGAGAGTCGCATCAATGCGGAAATCAACGGGCAAGGAAGGGGTCCCATTTCTCGGGTTCTGGGCCATTTTTTTTTTTCTTTCTTCTTTCATCATCACTGACCACCTCTAACTTAATTTCAAATGAGCTGGATTTTCATCATGAATCCGCCTTTAGCTGGTCTTCTGATATCTGTCAAAAGGCTCTGCTCATTTTCAATAGCAGTTCATAGTTTTCTATTGTCGAACACTTGATCCTAATGCAAACTGGTTTTTTAGCCAACAATCAAAAACTCAGTGCAGCTATGGAGTCTGCATCTTCTGTTTCCGAACAGCTGGCGACAGATTTTCTGCTTACCTGTCGAGGAAGTTTTCTACACCTTCCCCTCCTGCTCATATCATCACCCGAAGCTATTCGTGCTTATCGTCGCCATCTTTGTAAGTGTTCCACAAGTAATGAAAACATTGCTTTTTTAGGTGTTTTCCATGCGTTTGACGGTCTAATAATTTTTTGTGAGATCATAATACTATTTTGAAATTGCTTGACTTCTGTTTGTTTTATTAATGCTTGATTTTCTAGAAGGGAGAGCAGTATCCGCGAATTTCCATCTTTCGAAGTGAATAGAGAAAGTGGCGAAAGCAAGGAATACAGGTGAAAATCTTCATCATTCCGCTTTATGTTTGGCTATCCTGTTTGTAGCAGACGCAAAACTTGAACAAAAAACCTAGGAATATAAGAGTAGAGAACAACTGACGATCGCGATTTCTGCTCAAAGGCATATTTCACGACCAGGTGTGTGGAGCAATCTCTTGCGCTGAGGGTAGACCTTTCTATGATTAGGACTCATTTTGCAATCCAGAAGGTATAAAAGAAGGTCTCGTGGCTCATTTGGCTTCCGACTGTCCGTCGAGAAAGCGTGACCCCGCCCTCTTGATGGGTGGATTTCTTCTTTTGGTTGTTTCTTTTGTCTTCTTCATTGCTGATTAATACATTGACGACAGCCCGTTATGC